AGTGAGGGGAAGGCGAGTTCACGTTCATACCTGCCTTGCCGTTGGCTGCAAGGAGGATAATCAGTCACTGTCGGGCTTTCCTTCCTCACAACGGCAAACCGGACATGGACAGGGCCCATGCGTGGGACAGACGGGGATTTCTTGCCTCGCCGCCGAAAACACAAAAAGACGTGCTGCCTGCCTGTTTGTGGTCAGTCCCCTGGCCATCATGGTACATGTAAGCTTGCTACATGCCTAGCTAGATACCTACCTTACCTTACCGAACGTAACCGACTATTGTCCACAGAGGGGTGGCAGGCGTGCAGGCGGGCAGGCCCCCCCCCCCCCCCCCCAAGAGGCCGTCCAACCCACTAATACTCAGCCGGCGACGACCCCTCTTTTCAGGGGGCTCGCTTGGGGCGAGGAAGCGAGACACTGTAGGTGGTACTTCACGGTGCTCGATCCTACCAGGCCTGACTGACCTCGTCATTTGGGAGACAAGATTCGTTTGCAAAAGCTCAACGGAGACGACACGCCGCACTAGAGACCAAGCAGAGCAAAAGGCTCTGCCTGCCGCCGGATCCGAGACCCAACCTGCGATCTCCTCGTTCATGGCCCGACCGTACGTTCTCGGCATCACTAAAGGTGCGCGTCGACTAAGGTATTTTCTGCTCCCTCGAGTAAGGTAAGGTAGGGAAATCAGTACGCATCATCATCACAATCCCCTCATGCTGCAGAAACGACGAGTCACGGACTGCCTGCGCACCCTGGTGGACAGGAGCACCCCAGTCGACAAGTCGAGTACGGTCGTCAAAGTTCATCACAGCGACCGGCGCACGACGACGGAGCAATGGTCATTCATACCCCTCCTTTCCGACCTCCTCCAATCGCACCAGCCTTTCAGCACATCGGCAACCGACCCAACCGAGTTGGACAAGCGGATGACTTAAGAATGATGGCGTTTTGCGCTTTCCCATCCATCTGGCTAGCCTTCCAACTTTCTCATCCATTACCACACCTCGCCACCACGCCCGCAAGCTACCTAAGTAGGGGGTGTCCACCACGTCCATGGAATGGAGGAATGGAGGGGCAAGCACTCGAGAACGACCTCTTCCATGCTCTACTACAATCACTCCTGCGGCCACCCCACACCCCCTGCTTCACGATGGTGCCTCTCGACCTTCGCCTTGATTGGACGGCAATTCGATACGGGTCTTGACTCGGATTACCATTGGCTTCTTGGCCTCGACCTTCTCGATCCCTGGGGCCGATCATCTCACCACCTGCGACCCCTGCCTTGTCGTCATGCTTTGAATCGACTGACTCGCCCGCGAACGCAGCCAGCTGACATGACGAGACGGTCTCATCATGAGACCAGGAACCAAAACAATATGTCTTGCAACCACTCTTCGGCGATCCGCCGAAGCCTTGACCGTTTGTCACCTGTGCGAGGCCAACCGCGGAGTTAGCCGGCCGTGCGTGCCTACATACTCGTTCTGTAGGTCAACCTGCTTGCTTTGCATGGGGGCACTGGATGGACATGCAGGCAGCCAAACATGTTGGGCGAAACAAAAACAGCACGAGCAACTGTCCACAAAGACAGATCTCCAGCACGCACATAATACATGTCGACCCATCAGCCATGGTCCACCCCAACGAGACACACATTTCAGTGCCAATACGCCAACGCCACCCCCACTAGCCTCACCGACTAAGAATCTCGTTCTCGGCACCGACCGACACACAAACAACAACTGGGCCGATGCGTCTTTGGATAATAATGCTTTGCCCGCTCTTCCCAAGCCGGCACCGTCTACGGAACCTACCCTCAACAATGCGCCTCCAAACCACATTCCAGGATCCTCGCTACAGTAGACTAGGTTTTACCATGGCAGAACACGAAGAGAAACATGACTTTCTCCCTCCATCGATCCTAGGTTCCCGGTCCGACTCGTCGGATCTCGCCCTGCCTCTCTGCCTCGCCAGCTAAGGAAGCGGAGCACGACAGCAACACACGGCCCCAGGCGACGCAACTTCATGACACTTCTTGTTTGCTGGTCAGAGCAGATGACCTTCCTCAACCATGTTCTCGCCCACGCGACTTCTGACCCCTGCCGGTAAGACGCCTGGAAGATACCCCTCTTTGTGCCAACACCCCCAGGGTGCGTCTCCACCTCCAACTGCAAGCACTTAAGAAAGCTGACCCCGCCCAAGCCCCCTCTGCTCCCGCTCCGCGCGCCGTGCCCGGATTTGTGCCCCCTCGACGCTTCTGCCCCTCCACCTTCAAAAGACCCCAAGCCAGCTCGCCAGCTCGCCAGCCCGCCTGACCCCGTCTCCCAACCCGACACGTCTCGTTTCACGCTCGCTGGGTTCTTGATCTACCACCACTTGCCTTTCTCCCGAACGAGGTTGGCTGCAGGGCCGTGCCATGCTGTCATATTGTCATGCCTGCGCTGCTGCCTTGCTGCCCTGCTGTCGCTCTCTGACTGCCCTTTCGCTCTCAGCTTGTCTCTCCCATTCTCACTTTTCACGTCGCCCACGCTGCCGTGCCACTGAAACATATCTCGTCACCGCCCAGGCAGCCAGCGTCAGCCAGATTAGAAGCACAAGGTGGACGCTTCTTTTCGGCAGCATACGTCGAGGAAGACTGCCCAACGCCTCCGCCTCTTCTCCGACAGCACCACCCACGCGACTCGCAACCCCCCGGCAGAATCCACTCACCCTCGCCATCCAAACAGCGGTCAATCTCTGGTCGCTCTGCAGGGCACGAAACAGACGGTCTTTCGGGCAACAGCAGGGACAC